TTGTGGAAATTTATTTCATGGGTTTGGCACACCATTTTTAAAGAATTAGGGAATATAGCATATATATATGCATATATACACATACATATATATACACAAATTGAATATTCCAAAGCCCTTATGTAGTGTATAATTTCTTAGTGCATTTTGTTTTATGATAGTATGAACAAGTGCATAAATAGGCTTATTTTGCTTATATTTCATGTTTTAATTTTAGGGGAAAAATCACAGAGTTTTAAGTTTTCAACATAATCTGTGGCTGAGAAATGTTGATTTCACTCTAGGGTACCTGAGACGACTTGGAAAATATTGATTAGTTTCACAGTTTGTAGAATCTTGGCCACAGCAAGCAACTGTGATGCCAGGGCTCCCAGGCCAGCAGTGGCTGGGAATGACTCACTCTCCTCCTTGGCAATAGTTAGGGTCAGTTCTGTCTTCTGTTGGATAGAGCTCTAGGAAGTTGCCTCAGAGTTGTGTTTCCCTTACACTGGGCAATAAAGCAAGCTGCATGGTCTTTACCATCTTGAGGCATCCCCTCCTGAGTATTTACTCTCATTCCTAGAACACTGGACATTTTTTAAATTGTTGGGATGGTCAGGTGAAGAGTCCATAGCCTAAGGTCCAGAAATGGTCCAGTAGTTCTCTACCCACTAGATGCCAGTAGCTCCTTCTCAGTTGTGATAATCGAGTATCTCCAGACACAGTCCCTAGTAAACTAAATCATCCCCACTGGGAATAGTCATGTCACCCAGACAATCCCATCTGTGTGTGGCAGCTGTAGAAGCAGTCAAAGGGGTAGGAAGCAACCTGGATGAGCCAGAGGAGGAGCCAAGGGTAGAGTTAGGAAAACCAAGGCAGGCAGTTTAATGGAGTCAGTAAACTAGGAGTAGGGGCTTCCTGTAACCTCTCCTGTGTGGAGAAGAGAGGGTGACTGCAGAATTGAGGCTGTGGTGTCCATTTATGGGTAAGCCCAGAGCCCAGGCTTCTGCCTAGAAGATGCCACTCAGCTTCCTTCTTGCCGGTGCTTGAGCAACGTTGAGCACTTCGAGAGAGCTTTAGGCTGTCTTCATATCTTACTACTTACTCTCTTGGCCTTGTAGAGAGTGATGAGAGTCCAGAAAGGTTAATTTCCTTGGAGAGAGATTGCAATTGCTTGATCACATACAGGCCATCAACAAACATCTCTGAAGCATGCACTTGGGCAGAGGCTGTTCTATCACCCAAAACTGTGTGGTCAGAATGGGGAGAGAGTACAGCCAGCCTCAAGGGTGGGGTGGGTAGAGAAAGAAGGCAGGCTGTGGGATCCATATCCCAGCTCTGCTCCAGCCGTGGTATCCCCTTGGGTTAAATGAGTGATGCTGATAATCCACAGTGTCTCTGACTGTAAAGCAGGGTGATAAGAATTCTTATCCCATGTGGATGTGAGCAGATTAATCAACAGTGTGCCTGCCTGCAGACCTGGGCATTGTATGAAGGAACACTCCATAATCTAATGCTATCTTAAGTATTTTATTATTGATGGTATGTGAGAGTGTCATAGACTTGAAGAGTGTCCAGAAACTTCTGAAGGAATAGTGACCAAATACTTAACAGAACAAATGACTTATCTGTGGTAGGTCTTGAAAGATTAGTGAAGCTTTATCAAGGGAAACACTTTTTTTTTTTTTTTTGGTGGGATTGGGAAGGAGATCATACACTAAGCTTCAGACAGTGGTAAGAGCAACTAATACACTGCAGATTGCTAGCCAGCTGACTTATGCAGGGACAGCTGCCAGTTCTGTGATCTGAAGCTGGGGAAGGGTGGCTGTGAGGCTGTTGGGGCTGGTGAAGAATGCCTCTCCTTGGGAGGGGTACTGAATCTGAACAGACAGAAGGGGCTGGGTGGGGATGGAGTTCAGTGGAAGAACCCTTGCCTGGCATTTAGAAGGTCCCAGATTCTGTCCCAAGATCATCCCTTCATCAGCTTTGAGCAGACTCTTTAAGTACCAGACCCTGATGGCTTGGGGTCTACTTCCATCATTATTTCTTTTCTGCCAAGTAAATTAAGAACTGGTCATTTTAATTCTATCTCCTTTGCTGAAGAAGTGAACTACTGGAGACAGAAAGGCACATTTGTCTGTGTGGGGAATCTGTGTTGTCACATGGAATCCAGGCAAGGGATGCTGGCAGCCAGTTGGTGTCAGAAGAGTTTAGCAGACTAAGCTCAAGCTGCTCTGTTTAGGTGCCCTGAGCCTTCCTAGCACTGTGACCACTCAGGATGCCACAGCTCATTGTGTTAGCAGAGGTGCTGATTAATTAACTCTGGATCTTTCTTACAGTGGGCCCAGTTTATATGCTGCCTCTTGCCAGGGCCCAGAAACCAGCGTGGCAGACATGGGGAATAGCTAAAGCACCTGTGCCCAAAGTGTGGCATATTTATTTCCCTGGAGTCCATGGCAATATGCCTGAGGCTTTGCTGATTCAGCCTGGTGCTGTCTGCAGTCTGCTTGCTGACCAGACGTCTGTCCCAAGGTTGCAAGTGTCCCCTAGATGGTGCTGACTTTAATGTCTGTACTCTCTGAAACTTCATTCTGTGAACATGTACTTATTAGGCACTTCCTACTGTGCTAGGAATCAGGAATTTAGTTATAAATGAGATGGACTCCAGACCTGGCTTTGTAGAACTTAGCATCTTGTGGGGGAGAGACTGAACAAACTGTCCCAAGTGTTACAGATAAGGGCCTCTAAGAAAGGAAAGTTCAGGCAACCATGGCAAGGTAGAACAGGGAAAGGAACCTAATCTTAAGGAGGGTGGCAAGGACAGGAAGGGCTTTCCCCAGAAAGGAAGACTCCCTTGGTATCTGAGAATGTTCAGGAATGGGGCAGGCCAAGAGCCAGTGGAAAGCTAAGGAAACTTCCCTTACCAGGGTAGCCTATGACTGAACCCTTGTGAACATCTTCACATCACATATCTCTTGGCTTGCCTTCTGTTCTTTTTGTTTTTGTCTTGGGGCTTGAACTCAGTAACAGACTTAAGCTGTCACTGTATTACATAAGCCACACCTCCAATTTTGGCTTTTTGCTAGTTAATTCGTCTCATGGGCTTTTCTGCTCTGGCTGGATTTGAACCATGATTCTCAGATCTCAGCCTCTTGAGTAGCTAGAATTATAAGAGTAAGCCACCAATACCTGGCTTTCTCTTTATTAAGTTTTCTCTCCCTTGTCCCCTCTGCTGGCTTATATTGTTCTTAAAGCTAATAATCTTAGCCTTGCTGGAGGTGGGTCTTGCTCTCCAAGGTAGTAGACAATGAAGAGGAAGCCAGACTTTGAGGAGACCAGGTGGGATTCAGCTCCTGGATTTTTCTTTCTTTTTTTTTTCCAGCTCCTATTTTAATGGTTCTGACCTGAGCACTGGGTCCCTATTAGCATTGGTCAGGGTAGTCTAAGTGGGGCAAAGCCTGCTAAGCACTTAATTCAAGGCCTGTGTAAGTCAGGAGTTTGACAATACTTATAGTGAAGCTGTCCCCTGCTTGGCTGCTTGCCTCTGACCTGGGAGTTCCTTGTGTGACCTGTGAATGCCTGATAGGTCTTAGCTTCAATGTGTCATCTTTTATTTATTCTTCTTTTCTCTTCTTTTTGTGGTACTGGTGGGTTTGAACTCAGCTGCTAGGCAGGTGCTTTTACTACTAAACCATGCCTCCAAGACTGTCTTTGAGATAGTGTCTTGTCTGCCTGTGTTTGGGTTTCCTGTCATAACTGGAGTAACAAACGTGTCCTGCTCTACATTAAAAAGAGGTCTTTTGAATTTTTCTGCCTTAGCTGTCCTCAAAGCAGTATCCTCCCAAAAGCATCCCACACAGCTAAGATTTCAGGTGTGAGCCTTTACACATCCTTTATATGGGCTTAGTCTGCTATCTTTTCTAACCAGGCAGGTTCTTTTTTTTTTAATTGAGTTTTTTATTGTGAAAATACTGTACAGAGGGGTTACAGTTACATAAGCAAGGTAATGAGTACATTTCTTAGCCAGTATTGATGCTTCCTCCTTTGTTTTTCCCCTATCATCCCTTCCCTCCTGCCTCCTCAGCTACAACTGCCCCCCCCCCAACCCTCACCAGGCAGGTTCTTGGCATGGGCTGTCTCAAAAGATTTGAGCTCCTATGGGCCCTGGACCAAAGTGGTCTGAACCTGATGTGACCTGACATTATCACTGGGAGTGGGAAGGTATTAAGCCTTCTAGGTCTGACAGTGCCTTCTTTTGTCTGTTCATTCATTCACAAATACCTATTGATAGCCTATCCTTTGGTAGGTTCTGGGAGCACAAAGATGAACAGATATTCTCCAAACTTAAAGTCTGTTAGGAAAAAGCTGTTAATCCAAACATGACACAGTTGTGAAAGAATACTCTGGTATGCCATGCAATGAGAGTGTCATGGGGAGATTTGACGAGTTCTAGGAAGTCGAGGAGAAAGCTTGTGTGAAGAACTTATGTAGGAGTTGGGATCTGATGCATGGACAGATATCAACCAAACAAAGGAGGAAGGGAAGATTCCAGCCTGGGCAAAGGAAGGTGTGGAAAGAATAAGGGCAGGCAGAGCTATACCATGTAGTCATCTTATTTGCGGACCCTGTGTATCTTTTTAGGATGATGAAGTCAAGTCTGAGTGGGTGGGCTTTGTAGAGGTAAGGATTAAGAAGAGTTCAACTCTACTTTCAGGGGTTACTCAGCTGGGTTGTACACTTCTAGTTTTGCCTTCCATTGTCCCAAACCACCCTTCAGGTTGCTAAATCATGGATTAAAGAGAGCAGATATGAGCCATACCAAGAGATGGAAGGTCCCAAAGATAAGCCAGATAGGAGTAGGAAGCCTTAAGGGCATTCATTCAATCTGTGGGGCAGACCCCCACAGAAGCATTTTCCCTGGTGGAGAGAACTGCTCCTTGTCATCAATAACAGAGGATATTTTCCATCAAACAGCCTGAATGAAAAAATCATATTTCTTCTTTTTCCTCTTTTCCTTCTAGGCTTATATTTGGCACCCTGTATCCTGCATATTACTCCTACAAGGCTGTCAAATCAAAGGACATTAAAGAATATGTAAGTAGAGCTGTTTATTTGGAGGGTAGCTGAGGTGGCTGAGGCTGGGCAGCAGAGAGTGGATGTCCTTCTTGGTTGGGCATGAGTAGCAGGAAGTCATCATTTTTATTCTCATGACACTTGGCAGGAGTACTTTCTCTATCTAGACCTTCACTGGGGAAATGAGTTCAGCAGAAAGGTTCAGAGAGAGAGGAAACAGCATCTGCTCTTGGAGGCCCCACTGCTCTGTCACATGCTGAGTGACTTTGCCTCACTTAGCTTCAGTTTCCTTGTCTGAAAAACACTGTAGACTGCAAAGTGCCATTCCTTGGAGACAGCCTTACCTGGTGTCAAGAGCAAGTGCACTGATCCTAGAGTTCAATAGACCTAGTCCCCCAAACTCCTGGCTTTACAGCTTTGACCCCATTCCAGCCTATGAATCCAACCTCTACAATTTAAACCCTGTCACTGTGTAAGTTTTTTTTGAGGGCATAGGGTGTTCATCCTCCTCTTTCTCTTGCTCACGGCACCTTGCAGTGAGCTGAGCACACAGGAAGGGGACTGAAAGGCCTCATTGGTTGGAGGATTGTATTCATTACTGGTGGATTGTATTCATTCCTATTGCACCAGCTCTGTATGAGCTGGATACCTCAGCAGGATGACTGTTAGCCATTCCTGATTGGCAAATGTGATAGGTGATGAACAAAGGTTCACTCTTCCTGTGTAGTGCACTATCACAGGTCAAAGTTCAATGAACGTATATTTGGGCATAAAGGGGCTGAAATCAGGCCCCAGATCTGACATTTAATTGGTGCACAGGTGGGGAAAGTATCTTAAACTTCCAAAAGTCTAGATTTCATCTGAGCAGTGAGGTAGATAACAACAACCCCTCTTGTTCTTTTACTCACATATCACTTGGCAAGTTTGGTGTAGGTTAAAGAAATCATTTAGAATGGGCTTGGAAAGTCATCATTTTCCTCAGATTTCCTCAGAAGTCTGCACCTTGAAATCAACTGCAAACAGAACTCAGTCCCTGCTCTTCCAGTTTCCCAGAACTACTTGCTGCTCTGAAGCAAAGGACCTAGAGGGGGTGATTACTCCTCTGGAATCCTGTGTCTGGTATGTGTGAGGAATCTCCACATGTACTCTATAAATAGCTGGAAAGTTGCAAGCGCAGGCTCTCCTGGTGCTCAATTAACTGGGCCTAGTGTAAAACATTTGGCAGCCTTCTCCAGCCTCCCTATCCTAACCCTTCCTACCTATGGCAAAAGCCACCTGTGCTAGAGAAGGTAGTATTCTGGGGTCACTGCCATGCAAAGAACAGAAAATTCTCTGGGATAGAGAAAATTCTGCGGGGACAGATCAAACTCAAATTGTTTTGCACTGATGACCTCATAGGAGCCTGGTTTATGACTGGAATGGCAACTCATTAATTTAAAGTGAACATTGTAACTGATAAGCTGAGCAGCTGTTGTGTTGGCTAGTGAGAGACGCTTTCCCTTGGGGAAAAGCATGAAGGTTTCTGGGTAAAAATGGAATTGGAAGAAAGGAACTGAGACACACTCCCTCATTGTCACATACTCCCACACCTACTCTCATACACACAGTCCCTTTCACACATACTCAGTGTCACAACACTCAAGTGCTCTCACACAATCCCACATGCACTCATTCTCACAAGCACACACATGCAAGTCACACACTCATACATACTCCTTTGTCCTGTGTGTGTGTGTGTGTGTGTGTGTGTGTGTGTGTGTGTGTTAATAGGATTTGAACTGAGGATCTTAAGTTTGGTAACCATGGTCTACCACTAAGCCACATCTCCAGCTTCCATGTTTCCTTCTTTTGACTAAATCATTCTTTTTTTTTTTTTTGGTCAGTCGTGGGGCTTGAACTCTGGGCTTGGGCGCTGTCCCTGCACTCTTCAGCTCAAGGTGAGCACTCTACCACTGATCCATAGCACCACTTCTGGTTTTCTAGTGGTTTACTGGAGATAAGAGTCTCACGGACTTTCCTGCCCAGGCTAGCTTTGAACTGCAGTCCTCAGATCTCAGCCTCCTGAGTAGCTAGGATTACAAGCATGAGCCACTGGCGCCTGGCTTGATTAAGCCATTTTTTTTTTTACAGGAGAGAGACCTGGGAATTTGCTTGGTCTCCTGCCTCTCTCTTCATCAATCATCTCTACAGATACATGTTGGTAACTGTGTCCTACAGCCCATCTTTCTTTTTTGGTCATATGGGGGTTTGAACTCAGGGCCTAATATTTGCTATACACCACTTGAACCATGCCTCCAGTCCCTTTTACTTTTAGTTTTTTTTCGGGGGGGTCCATTCATGGGGCCTGAACTCTGGGCCTGGGCTCTGTCCCTCAGCTCTTCAGCTCAAGGCTAGCACTCTGCCACTTGAGCCACTTCCGGCTTTTTTCTTTTTGCTTATGTGGTGCTGAGGAATCGAACCCAGGGCCTCAGGCATGCAAGGCAAGCACTCTACGACTGAGCCACCTTCCCAGCCCACTTTTAGTTATTTTTCAGAAAGGGTCTTGTGCTTTTCCTGGGCCTACCTGGACCAAAGTCATTCTAACTATATGCCTCCTGTGTTGCTGGGATTACAGGCATGAGCCAACTAGCCTGCCTTGCTCCCATCCCCTTCATAATCAAATCAGCTCTGTCTTCTCTGCTGCCATTTTCAGAAATGAGCTTGCAGTCATTTTCCAGGAAATATTACAATGGCCTTCTATATTAGGGCTTTATTGTCACTGTAACAGGTTACCATAACCTTAGTGGCACATAAAACAACACAAGTGGGGCTGGGAAGGTGGCTCAGTGGTAGAGTGTTTGCCTTGTATTCATGAGGCCCTGGGTTCGATTCCTCAGCACCACATGAGCAGAATAAGCCCGAGTGGCACTATGGCTCAAGTGGTAGAGCGCTAGCCTTGAGCTGAAGAGCTCAGGGACAGCATCCAGCCCTAGAGTTCAGGCCCCATGACCAAAAAAAACCAAAAAACAAAAAACAAAACCCACAAATGTATTCTCACTCTGGGGATCAGAAGCCCTCCAGGGGCTCAAATCAGACAGGACTGCATTTCCTTTAGAAGCTTGGGAGAGGAATCCATTTCCTATCCTTTGATGTCTCTTAGGGGCTACCTGCACTCTTTGGCTCATGTCCCTTCCTCCTTGCTTCTAAGCAACATCGTTACATCTCTCTAAGCATTCTAGTGTCACTTGTCCCTTACCCAGCTGAGAGCAGTTTTCCTCTGTGTGTGTGTGTGTGTGTGTGTGTGTGTGTGTGTGTGTGTGTGTGTGTTTGCTGGTACTAGGGCTTGAAATAAGGGTCTAAGTGCTGTTTCTTAGCTTTTTTGCTCAAGGTTGAGGCTTTACCATTTGAGCCACAGCTCCACTTCCAGCTTTTTGGTGATTAATTGGAGCTGAAATCCTCATGGACTTTCCTGCTCAGGTGACTTCAAACTGTAATCCTCACTTCTCAGCCTCCTAAGTAGCTAGAATTACAGATATGAGCCACTGAAACCTGGCTCCGTTTTCTTTTTTAAGGATACATGATTACATTGGACCCAGAATAGTCTTTCCATATGAATGTCCTTATCTTCATAACTGTAAGTATCCTTTGCCATATGAGGATTTGAATGTAGACATCCTTAAGGAGCTATAGTTCTGCCAACCACACTCCCTCCTCCCCACACTCATTTCCTACTCTGTTGTCTATTTATCTCATCCCTCCCTGGAGCCTTATAACCTGCAAGACCAAGACCAAAGTCCATTACAGTGTCTAATGCTCTTCTTGACTTTGCTATATTCTACTTTCAGCCACTTCTCTATTAACTTTCAATACTCTATATCTCTGCAGGTCAACACCACCAATATCACCTCGGAGTTTATCAGAAATAAAGCATCAGGCCCTACCCAGATTTCCTAAATAAAAATCACAAAATTTAGAAACATTGCTCTTGCTATATAGATTCTTGTATCTTTCCAAATTTAATGCTTTAGTAAGACTGGAATGGAAGTGTAAGGATGGAAGTGAAGTAAGGAGACTGGGTCTATGCTTCCCCTAGGTAATTAGCCCTCTAGCTCCCCTGATCATTTCCCTAGGTAGTTTGCTTTTCTATTAGGTTTAAGTGCCCTCATCTGGTTTGCTTTGCTCGTGTATAACACTTTGATTGGTCTACATAAGATTTGTGCTAGCTGAATTTGGGGCTGCTGGTCTTTGAGACCTGAGTCCGCCAGTAGTTCTCTGGCTGTCCAATAAAGACTCATAATTTGGACTCTTAAGTGGTGGCTTCTCCATTTCTCGTGACTGAGTTTCCTTACTAAAAAAGAAAGGAACTTCTGGGTAATTATAGAATTAACTATGGGATGGAGAAGTTGAAGAGCTAATAAGGTTGGATAGTGATAACAGACCAGCTCATGCCGCAGGAAGGATCTTCTTAGTGTTCCGACCATGCCACCATTACTGACATTGGCTGACACCACAGGTGCCTGTGGAACATTCTTTGAAGAGTGAAAGTCCTGGATATGAACAGTGAGGAGCACTAAAGTCTTAAAAATTACTCAAAGGAGACTCTAAAATACCAGACATATATAGGTATAGGCAATCAGAAATGTTAGTTGGACTTACTAATTGATATTAAACTGATTTGTTGTGTGGGGCAAGATGAAGAATTCAACTGTGCCTCCACTGGACAAAACTCATTTGTACCCCCATGGATAAAAACATTTTCAATCCAATAAATAATCTGTAAATTGTGAAATAGTTCAAAAGACCCCTACAAACTCCAGGAAATTCAAAAGTATGTGCTAGACACTGAACATTCTGTAGAACACGTTCTTTTTTCAAGTTTTCCTGATATTTCCCTCTTTTTTACATCCAATTCATCTTCCCTTTGTCTTAGGGAGTAAGGTGCCAGTCCTGGGGCTTGAACTCAGGGCATGGGCACTGTCCCTAGCTTCTTTTGCTCAAGGCTAGCATTCTACCACTTGAGCCACAGCACTACTTACGGCCTT